AATAATTTAACGTTAGGCTAGCTCTTAATGTCTCTGGAATAGTGGTTCTCAAAGTGTGGTAACTGAACCATTAACAACAATATCAAATGAAAACTTGTTGGAAATGCAAATTTGTGGGCTCCACCCAAGACCTACTGAGTCAGAATCTCTGAGTGTAGGGCTCAGCAATCTGTGTTTTAACAATTCCTCCAAGAGCATACAAAAAGTTGAGAGTCACTGCTTTAGATTGACACGTTATTTCCATTCCCATACTTGCTCCTTTATTTGAGGCATCACTGTCTCTCATCTAGACCATTGTGATGGCCTCCTAACAGAATACCCTACTACCTCATTTGAATTCTCCTCATAACGACCACTAGACTAATCTTTCAGTAGTGCATGAAAACAACAACAACAACAACAACAAAAAGTCAAGAACTCCTCATTGCCTACTGAATTAAGCATAAACTATTAATCTGGTTCTCATGATCTCTTCATACTGTGTCTAATCATCCTGTTACAGTTTTACCATTCACAACTAAGCTTCACGCTCCATGTCCTCTATTCTACAAGCAAACTGAACTAAACCTCCATTGAATACTTTTTAATAAGTGTATCCTGAATAATTACCTTTTCTGTATTGCTGGAGTGGCTGCTAAATTCACTTATCATGCACGAATGAGTATCCCAGTATCCATGATCATAGTATACTCCACCATTAAACAGCAAACTCTTTGAATCCATCACATCTTACCTAGTAATAGAATTCCCACAGTACCAAACATTGTGATCTGAAAATAGTATATGATTGATGAGAGTTCATCCAGATTTCTCCCTTTTCCCAACTCTTCCTTAATTAGTCCTCGAAGATCCACCTCAACTATCATCTCTCACAAATTACTGACTCCTCTTCTACAATTTGGCTTCTGAGAGGATGGAAAGGGGTAGCAGTACCATAAGCAATAGGATTAAGTAGTCACTTCATTTCTGCCTTCTCATTACACTTTCTATGCTTTCATCTCCTTTTCCTGTTACTATCACTCACCCCTAGACATGCCACTATGCTCACAGGCCCTAAGGCAAAGAGAGTTGGGACACGGTGTCTCTCCTCATTGATGCCATCAACTTTACTCAGGGTTCGAAAATTATCTCTGATTCATTTTTATAACTCTGATCCTCCCCATTAAAACTGCCATTTTATCAGACTGATATTACACAGATTAGGAAAGATTAAACTTTCTTAAAGCCATTGGATACTCTTGGGTAACCTAAATAAATGGGAAGTGGTAGCATTTCATGGTTTTAAGGGTTGTATTTGGGGAAAGCAGAACTTCCTCATACTTCTTAGATTGGTCCACTTTATTATCTGTAAAGCTTGTTCTTGCCATGGAAATAGCAAAGACATGATTTCTTGACTCCAGTGCATTCAGAGACTAGAAGAAATCAGCTATGCTTCCATTTCCTTTTTCCTATCAATTCATGTCTCAACTTTCAAAATGTGGCCATTCGAGTCTAATATATGAAGATGGAATAATTATTGAAATTAATGATTTTTTACCAGTTTATATCTGTAAACTAATTAATAGATTTTTTAAATGTATGTGTTTACATACCTTACGTCATTGTCCCTCACTACAATCTTGAGGTTCAAATAAGACAGGCATTATCTTATTAATTTTGCAGATGAAAATAAGCTCTTAGAAGTAAAGGGGCATATTTAAGATCACATAAATAGTAATGTGATCAGCTAATACTCAAAACAATTTTTGTGGCTTCAAGTTAAATACCTTTTCTTCTCACCATAACACTCCTCACTGAAGGCTAAAATTGCCACTACAGAAAGCTGCATCTGTATGGACATGTCCTCAGCCAATTTGAACCAAACATTGCAATGCATATTGCTGTCTGGGTTTTGGCATATCTTGTAATGGACAGTCCTTGCAGGACACATGGGAGCACCCAACTTTGTATTCTTCACCAAATAGTAAATCAAGGAGATGTCAGTGAGTTTTCAAAATATGCTTTTGCTTTATTCAATTGCCCTACCTAGTTGACCTTTGAAAGGTTATCTTGGAATTAGTTCTTACACTGACTCTATGATCCACCCATATTCAGGACAAACCTACTTTTGCTTGTTTGTTTATTTTATCCCCATAGATTTTCCTTAAATTATTCTCCTCTATGAAACCTGGCCACAGACTCAACCATAGAAAAGTCACATTCCAACCTAATCTTACCCTGCATAAACTCTACTATAAGGTAGCTCATTTTGAGATCAAAGGCCAACTCTAAGACTTCCAGCATTTCCAGAATTCCCCTACTCCATAAGCAAACACACACACAGCCATTAAACATTTTAAAGTCCGTATTGTATCAACAGAAGATTACTGAACTGCCAAATTTTAGAACTATCAGGGAATTCTGAACTAATCTAACACAGAAACTTAACATCATATCCTAAGGACATAACTTCTATCTCCTGCACTCATTCTAGGAAGAAGAAAGATAAAATAGCAAAAATCCCACCCCTATCTAGTAAATACATTATTTTACATTTTATTCATTACACTTTCAATAACAACCCTTTTGTGGGGGTTGGGGGATAGTTTTTCTTTTAAAAACAACTGATCTAGGTTAACTCCCTTATCTTACAAACACTGAAATGAATATGCAGAGAAATCACATGTTCTGCCTATTACTCACCAAGTTAGGCCCAGAATTCAGATTTCTAAGTCCACTCTTCTCTCTGCTGAGATTATCTCACCATTAGTTGAACATCCCCATGAAGATGTACCAGTTTCAAACATATTTTACGATTGCAATAAGTATTTATTTTTGTGTTTGTAAGCAGATATTTATTAAGCAAGTATCTTTATGTCCTTTTATCTTCATATACTCTTTAGCACAATGGAAGCTTGATATCATAATTAATATGATAAATAATTGAGAAAATTGTCAGACAATATCTCTGTTTTTGGTTTCCTCATGATAGAGTGTAATTATCTCCTCAGAGCCCCCAAATGTGGTAACTATTGCACCCAGTTTTCTTTACTAATTTAGAGAAAAAGGAATATTTGAAAAGTAAAAATGTGATTGTTCTGTCAATTATTATGCAATTAGAAACATGACTTAAAATTTCTTATGCCTTGTTCTGGTAGGGAAAATAAAAGAAGTGCATCCAGTGGCTCACTTGATGCATGAGTTCTGGATGTATCCTCACAAATTCGTGCAAAATGTAGAACAAAATCTCACAAAATTGTCTTGACAACACATTTGTCTTGACCAAGTCTGTCTCTTCTATGGTAGAGGATGAATTATATCCACTTTTCATATCTTTGTGTCACAATCTTGTAACATAATGTATCTTAATAATACTCTGTTTTCTCTTAAATATTCTATAGCTTAGTGATTTATTAAAAATACATGTATATGTATTTACAAAAATACATACATATATAGGAGAATAAAAAACTTAGTAATGAAGTGGTAGCATTTTTTATATTATTGAAATAAGCCTCCTTTGGTTGTTTAGGTATTAAATAAGCCATTGATCTCTCCAGAAGTAAAAGCAATTGTCTTTTTAAATAGCAGAGTAAATTCTTAAAAAAAGAAAAAAAAAAAGAATATATTCTGAAAATAAAATTCCAGGCCTATCAGATTTTTTTTTCAAGTAATAATGACTTATTGAAAAACTATATATACATATGAGGAGCACTAAGAAGTTAACTATTACAAATAAGTAGCAATGAATTAAGATAAGCTAACAACTTTTTGTTTCGGAAATGAGAGTTTTGAAGGGTAACTATGCTTCATGTGCATAAACTGCTTAGAATTCATCAGATTGCACTTAATATATTTTGGAAACTACTTTTAATTTGTACTATTATGTATAATATGATGATACATTTTAATGCCTTAGAAAGTGTAGGAATTGTGAAATAATTATACTATTGGGTGTCCACATTCATCAAAATAATTTTTGAATGCATTCTTCTATTTTTTCTAGTAATCAATACTTACATGATGCGTTGCATTGCATTTTATCACAAATATTTCAATAACATTTTTTCTCAAATAAAATTTCTAGCAATCATCTATATACCTAATACACGTATTTATTTTATATACTACATTTTATATTTGTAATCATACCATATATGTTGAAAAATGTGTCAAACTACATTATATAAATTTGGGGTAATTCCTTTTGTTTCAATCTTCCTCACAGAGTCAAAATTCTATAGTACTATATATTTTGGCAAATTAGTTATTAGGTAATATTTTGTCTTCATTAAATGTTACATAAATATAAAGGTTATCATGCAAAAGTTCCATATCCCCATTCTTTATTACATACAATAAATATAAACAGGCATATAAAATTATAAAAAATTAGGCTAGATAAGCTTTGCAATCATTTGTTTTCATGGCTTGAGCATTTCATTATAGCCAAATGGATTTTGTCAAAGTAAGTGTCCTCAATTAGCAAGACCAAGTTAAATACACACACACACATGCACAACCACTAAAATGGTACAAACATCCTAGGTCGTGCAAAAGATGTACAAGGCCTCATTTTGGATATTTGGTCTACATTATACACAAGCAATATTATATTTTGCAAAATATATCAGTAGTGTTTTCTTTAGATGGATGTATTTTGTGCTTTTTTATTTTATTTTTTTCCTTTCGGCCTGCAGCATGCTATTTGTTACTTTGCTTTTGGTTGACACTTGAAAGTACATATGTAAACCAGTGCAGAATGAAGTTCTAGAGTTGCTTTGGCAGGCAAAAAAAAAAAAAAATGACAGAAAGAGAGAGAGAAAGAGTGAGAGAGAGAGTGCACGCAAAATATTTATCTCTCATGATAGTCAGTGGTAAAGTTTCCTTAAATACATTTTGGCCTTCATTTTCCTTTTGAAAACCGTGCTGTGGGGGTTGCTTGCCCCCTTCAGAGCTCTGTGCAACCTTCGTAAGAGATCATTTAGCACTAGTTTCCACCTTGGAGTAGATCTTCCTACCTTTCCAGTCTTAATTCTGTGAGAAATGGCTGCAAATCGATGATTGAGCTCTGAGATTTGGGGCTCTATTACTTTCCTGCAGTGGTTGCCGCGGTTTGCCATCAAGTTTGCTGCTTGGTCACGCGTGGAGTCCACCTTTGGGCGCATATCATTCATTTCAGCCTTTAAACGCTATATTCCGTGAGCAAGAGACAGGGCTTAAAGTTAGTAATTAATGTAAGTGGAGGGGGAAGAAAGAGAGAGAAGAGAGGGGAGAGAGGGGAGAGAGGGGAGAGAGGGGAGAAAGGGGAGAAAGGGGGGGAGAAGGCGAGAGAGAGAGACAGGGACAGAGAGAGAGAGAGAGAGAGAGAGAGAGAGAGAGAGAGAGAGAGAGAGAGAGAACATGCAGAAGAATAGCAAGGAAGGAAGACAACTTCCTTAAAATAGGACTAGAGCGAGAATGTGTGTGATCCCAGAAAAAGAGGTCAATGTCATTAATTGAATTTGATGCATGTCTATTTATTGTGTTTATTTAGTCTAAAGACAGAGATGTTTTCCTGACTTTTCTCTACGTTGTCTACATCATAATATCTTATATTTAGTCTTATTTTATCTATGTTTACTGAATTTAATAACTGTGGAAGAACCTAAATATGTGCTCAGAAGAAAAGTTAGCTGAAGAATATTTTTCTATTCCTTCCTGATACTTATAAGTTCCTCTTTATTATATAGAGTGCCACCGAAAAAAAATTTTTTAATGGATATCGATTCTGTGTCACATACATAGGTATTGAGGAATGTTCTGCATGACCCAAGGGTTCACTGAATCTGTAAGTTAGATAACTCAGTTCCTATTATTCCAAAGACCTTGAAAGAATTTCACCATAAGGTGACATCCCTGACTACACATCAATGGAAAATGCAGAGCACAATAGAGATCCACATCAAAATACAGTTCAGACAATAGGGTAAATATATTTTGGTGATAGCCTGAAATGCATTTACAGTTTTTCATCAAAAATAAATTGTAATCTATGGAAAATATTAATGGCATAAAAAGAAAAAGAATACATTGTATAGGTGGAAACTGTGATTTTTGAGTGTTCTTTAAATAGTAACCCATTAGTCAAATAAAAACTATCAAAAATTTTTGCAAAACAAAATAAGGAATCACTAACTTAAATAAGATTAGTTAGTGCTCGCCTCGGCAGCACATATACTAAGATTTGTTAAAATTTAATTAATCCTATTTAATTGAGAAAGATGTCATCAAATAGAAATAATGTAGTGTCAATAAGATACATTTTCACATTATACCTCTCACATTCTTTTACAGGAACCATTTTTTCAAAGGAGAGACTAAGTTGCCTTTGAGAAAGAAGACAGGATGTTTTAATAATTAGCTTCAATACAAAAAGACAGAACTTGAATCCATGTTTACTTTACATGTTGTTAAAAATTTTTTAAAAATCAGCTTTATATAACTCCAGCATTATGACTAATTACTAAGATTTGGATATCACATAGGCAAAATATCCAGATGATTAGATTTCAGAGGTTTACCCAGATGGGCTGAATGAATGATGAGGAAAAACTGGTGTTTGTGTTAGATACAAGAATGCAGTACTACTATTAAAATAGGCAAGTCTTTGCAATACGATACCAAAATAAATCCTGTAATTCCTTTTTGAGTGAAGTTTAAATTGGGTGTAATTAGATGAGAGGTGGATTTGGGCAGATATCAAGATTACAAAACTCTTCAAAGTCATTAATTCTCATTCAAAGGAGAAAAGAATGAAGGAAGGAAAGAAGGAAGGGAGAAAGGCAGGGAAGGAGGGAGGGAGAAAAGAAGGAATGAAGAAAGTTTTTCACTCATTAAAGAGTCTTTGGTATCTTCTAGGACAAAGATGATTGACATAACTGTTGTGCAGTTTGAAAATTACTTTTCGTAATATTTTATTTGCTACCTTAAGAATGTCTTCTTTTTGCTGGGGTTTCTTTTTCTCAGATTCATCCAAAAGTATGTCAGCCTGAGTGATCCACTTTGTGATGTGATCCACATTCTGGTCAAAGCTTTCCATGTGTTTCTGATATTCCTTAATTGCACAGAGACATACCATGACATTATTGGTTAGAAAATATTCTTAAAGAATTTGTCCTACTTTCTAAAATTTTAAAATGAAAAAAATATAGTGTCATTCAAATTACACTTAAGTGGGATCTCCATATAGAATACAGCAAAAACAGAGAAAATATATTAAAATATAGTTATGGATACTGAATTAACAGCAAGAATATATGTGTAGATGAGGAATTTTCAAACACAAATATTATTAGAGAAAATTAAAATTACATAAGTATATTTTGTCTCTTGACAGAGAGAGGTGAAAAAGCTTCCGGCCTCATTTCTTACCAGCAAAAGGTTTAACCACTCTTCTGCTCGGGAAGTGACAGCTATCCAGTTACTAGTCAGAAGACTGAGCTTGTCTTCCACCAAGGTCTCCTTCTTGCCCAAAACCATTTTCAGGGCCTCTCCCAGCTCTGTGACACTTTTCAGGTGAACTTTCTGTTTCTCAATCTCCTTCTGAGTAGCCTGTGAAAAGAAGAGCATTGAGCTTCAAGTAATGTATCATAGCCTTAAGATTTAATGCTTGTGATATAGCTGCGTGTATGGTTATTATGGTAAGATTTTGCAAAAGTTTAAATCTACAACCATGTATTTATGAACCATAAAAATCATACCATATACACTGCAGTTTCATGATTGAGTATATATGAACATATATTTATATATAAACATGATTAATTTCTTATTTAGTCATGATTATACATATATATTAGATAAATATATACATTTTCTAATTAAATATATTTAGATTTACTTAATTTGTACATGTAGTAGCAAAAGGCAGACATTTCAAAACCCATTCACAAATAAGGAACTGCTTTTAGAAAATTCAGGAAGTATGGTGTGATTATATTTGTATAGCAGGAATTTTCAGCCGTTTGGTGCCATGGACCTCTTTGGTATGTGATGAAGCTTAAGAACCCATTCACATAATAATGCTTTTAAAAGCATGAAATAAAATTCACAGGATTTTAAATGAAACCAATTACACTGAAATACAATATACAAAACATTTTTTTTTAATTTTGTGATACAGTAATATATGATTTCTTTTCTAACATGTTAACTAACAGGATTTAGTGTCAGATTTTTAACTACGATAATTTCAAAGTGGTGATGAGCATAACTAGTATTTTTATGTATATGCAATGACTGAAACATGATATAAAATTATCCATCATTTCCATTAGTGACAAAGTGACAAGTACTGCTATTCCTGGGCTTTGTGAATTACACTTATAATTGAAAACAATGCATAATTATAGCTATAGGTGAATGAAAATAAAGATGTAATTATTTTTCCAGTCCAAGTTCATAGACCTCAATTCTATCCACATACTGTAGCTTAACATTCCTTAAAAAAGCACCACCATTTCCTAAGACTTGATGTACAAAACATGGAAACAACTTTATTTAATATGAGAAAATATGTCGAGAGTTGATGGAAAAACTGATCCCAGTGCAAATGTTTACTGACTGCTCTTCCTACAGACTCTTCCTTGAGACATAGCATAGCTGACCATGTGACCACCCCGGTTCCTCCATTGCCTGCCGACACACCCAGCTGTTGGACATTCACAGGGAGGTGAGCCAGAGCTTAACAGATCCTTTCCCAGGAAGGTTAACTGAGAGATACAGCGACCATGATTGGCACATGAGCTGAGAAGCTATTTGCAAATGAAGCTGATGTCTTCGTCAGAGAAAGCCAAAGCCAAAGCAACACAAAATTACTGAGGAGCTGCAATATCAAGAAAGTAGAGGAAGCTCATCTGCAAAGAATCAAACTAAATATATGCACAGAGAGCGACAGAGGTGTTCCATGTAAAAGAGGGAGGTAGTCTCTGTGAGGCCAGCCTATACCTCTTCTCACTCTTAAATGCTCTCAATGTGTCTTTTCTACTTTTATAATTTGCCTAAATAATCCTTGTGGCAGTCTTTCTTCCCCACCATCAAGTCCTCATCAATTCAAAATCACAAAATCACTGGGTGGATTTTTTGTTTGTTTGTTTGTTTGTTTTTTTGGTCTTTGACATCAAATAAGTACAGGTAATAAATGAGCTGAACATATTGTATGAAAAAATTTCTGTACCAGAAAGAATCACTGTTTCTTCAATTCTAAGATTTTTTTTTCGCATTTGTGTTTTTCTTTCTCCATGCAAAAATAAATACAATTAAAGTAATTAATACCAAATGAACTTATCAGCTACCAGGCAGAGAGTTATTTGTAATGTAGGTGTTATCTGTTGCACATGGGTGAGAATAGCGATTCATAAGAGCAATTTGTTCATATATCAAAAATAAGTGGTTATTAAGCTCCTACTAGATTCCTGTCAATATTATAGCAGTATCATATGTGATTCAACAATGTCTTTTGGAAAATTATGAGAAATGCCTCTTTTGGGTGGACACAGCCCCTCTGGAACTTGACTTGTGAGTAGACATGAACTAGATTTCACTTATTTTAATCCATTGTCTGCACCCTTGTATAGTATACAACCTTTACATATATGACTGTTGTTCTAGGCACTGTGGGTAAAATGACAGAGAAGCAAAGTACCTGTCATTCAATAACTCGTATTTGAGAATGGGTTTGTCAAAGATATGAAAATACATATGCAAATGAGCATGCTCTACTTCCTATATTCCAGACTGATGGCTTGTCACTCCAGTTGATTTATTTGCAAAGGTAACACCTCACAAAGTTGAGTCAATTTATATTTGGATCACTAATTATCTTTTAAAATACCTTTGTAAAGAAAACAATATGTTTTCTCATTGATATAAAAATTTTCTGTGTACCAAGTCTTTTTTTCTTACATGCGAGGCAACACAATTAAAGACAATAGAAATTTCCAAACTTCAGAGATCAGAGAAATTTTGAACTTAGGGCATAGTATTGCAAATAGTTCCTGGGTCACAACTATTATGCATCAATCATCTGACAAAATCCTTTGGCTGATTTTCAAGAGAAAATTTTTTATATCCAGTCATATTTCATTCAATTAATAGAAGCAGTGAAGTAGGGAAAGTGGACTAATTTCTAATATCTTTCTAGGTTCCTCAAAATTATAAGATAAAATTCAAAGATGTTAAGAGTTATCACCATCATGAACATGTGTTTGAAAAAAGCAGTGATCATTGTGGTGGTTCATAAGCTCTTAAGTTCAAAAATGATTTATGGGAAAACTTACACTCTGTAAAAAAGAGACCTGCAGTTAAACCTTTATATGTGGTATTCAAGAATAATTTGGAATTTAGTAATTTGTGTACATGCTATTTTTGGTTAGGAAAAATGCTGTGTTCATTTAATGGATTTTTTTCCCCTCAAAAGTGTCTTTAATCAAATGTATGACTTAAGAAATAACAACATCTTAGACTTCAAACAATATGTTGATTTTGCTTTCAGAAGGTCTTATTTTAATTCCAATTAGTCAATGTACATCATGTGCCTAATATCCACTCTGTCCTGTGCTATTCACTGCCAGAGATAAGGAAAGAGGTAATCTTTACATACCTTGTTCTAAACGTCTCTACAGTGCAGCTCAGAGAGAAACTGAAATGCAATAAAATAGTTTGACATCATACTAGAAAAAACATATTTTTTTTAGATAAAGATGAGCCATGCCTATGATAAACATAAATGGTTTCAAGGGAAAGGGGACACTTGAAGCTGTAGTTGACCATAAAGAGTGGAATGATTTGGAATGACTAACGACGAAGTACAAAATGATTAGAAGGTATGAAGGTTAGAATCAAAGGCCAACAAAAAAGGAATATGGAGTACTTATTGAAAACTGGAAACATACATTTTATGAGGTTGTTGAGGAACCATTTTCTCTTGCTCTAACAGTTTCCCATTACAGAAGAACTCTGCCCCTGCAGATATATAGGGAACTAAGCTAGAGGTATTGCTTTAGCCGTTCTCTTTATAGCCTTACTCGTTCCTCTCTAAGAGAGCTAGAGTTATTTATGAGATTGGTGAGATGGGGAGAAAAAACTGAACATACATGGCACTTCTTCCTCATTAAAAGTATCCAATCCTCAGCACGCATGCCTTCCCCTCCTGTCTTGAGGGGTGAGGAATGGAGAGGGTTCTGAACAGTTTACCCTTCTGAAGTAGTAAGTTTATATTTAATGACTAAATTGACTAAGTTATCTCAGGCTCTTTTGTTTTTTCAATCGTGCGGTAATGTGACAGCTTGTAGAGTTGATTTTAAGATTGAAGAAAAAGCAAAATTGTGTACACCCAGTTTTATTTTGACCTATGACTTGGTCATAAGTCCACTTTCAAGAGATTTAAGAGCAGCTGAATGTGAACTCTATACTTGGCACTAAGGTTTTTATGACATAGGAAAAATGTTAGACACATAAAACTCAACTTAAATATAAATTACCACAAAAATCTAACATAGTTTCCTTTACCATATATTTAATTTGTGACATTTGTTAGCTCCAGAATAGTCTAAATATTTACCACTAACTTCTATGATTTCAAATAAACAAATTTGCTCTCTAGCTCCTAGCCATAACAATTTTTAAGTGTTTCTCCAATTTTCCTTATGATAAAAGAATGGACAAAGTTGGTCAATTTTGTTCAGCAAAGACACACCCTATGTTCATGGGAAGGATGGTATATACATTCTGATTCATTTCCCATATCTACGAGTTAAATTGGTTGCAAAAATTTTAAATGGCATATTAAGGATTTAGCAATCAGCTTATCAACTCACTTCACTGATTCAGAAGCAGGATGGGAAAACCTGCTCTGTTGGTCTCTGCTGATCATACTATCTCATGATGAAAACATTTTCTTAAATTTTATTTATAGGTAAAACTGTAAAAGGTTTGGAATAATTATTTGGTCCCATAGGAACACATTCATTGATAGTTTCCATATCTCTCTTGGGTTTGACCCTCTCTCCGATCCACTTCTCATTTTCACAAATTTTCCAGTTCCTTCCATAATTTCTCTTGGAATTTCCCAGAAGTTTATATTCTTAGAATAACTTCTCTATCTGATCTCCTATTATTCCCACCCCCTCTTTTTTATTTTTAATCTCCTTGGGGACTCCTGTCCTACAGATTCTATCTTCACTCAGCCACACATTTAGTCCAATGTGTGTCTTAACACCTTTTCGTTATATATTCTTCCCTTTAAGAGAACACTACCGAATTCCCATTTATTCTAGCTCTTGTCCTTATTTCCTCTATTATGTATGAAGGGTTAACTAACACACTCATAAAAGGTATCTTAAAATGTCCCCCCACCCAAGAGAATTCTGTACTTAGTGTACAAGATTATATCATTTCTGGTCATTGGGAATGGGAAAGAGTCCCTTCAACTTTTAGCTACACAATATATTTATGGGAAGAAAAAATTAACAAACTATCATATTACCCCAATTCTAAGGTGTGCGTTTGTCAAATTTTAAGGTATGAGAAATTTAGATTAAACACAAAATTTG